CAGTCGCGTAGGCGCACGTCGCACTGGGTTGATTTAGAGGGTGCATTGGCGGTACTACAACTACGAATGATTATGCCCGACTTAAAAGTCACACCAGCGCTTTGTCGTGTAGGCGCATTGCTTGTCCGCCTCTTGCGTGACGCTGTGTCCGCCGCGGCTATGGCAAATTTGTCTCCCCAGTTTGCGTGTGCGTGTGTGTGTCTGTGTGCATTCAGGTGTGTGCTGGCATGAGTGTCGATCCGCTCCCCGCGAATTGACATTGCCTAAGGCAAGGCAGGAAGCTGCGAGGACCTGGAGACTTTTATTACGCAGCGCTAGGCAGGGACCACCGTAGGCTCATTGCGGCGATCGCACTAGTAAACTACGTACTCGCTCTAACCGAGAACCTTTTGCCCAATCCCCTCTAGACCCAATGTGGCAGATTTGTGTGGAGATGACCGGTGTTCAAGCCCCCTTTACCATCAACCCAACGCACAGTTAGTCATTCCGTTCAGGCGGAAGTAGATTGCACGAACTTTGTAGATCGGCAGTACACCCCCAGCATGGGCACTTACTCCGGTTGCTAATATAAACTCGACATTTATCGAAGAGAATGGGCGAATAAACGAAGGCCATAAGCAACGCCACCTCGTAAAGGCCAGTGGAATCCACATACTTCGTGGCATACATACCTACACGCGACCAGGGGCCGATGCAACCTCAACCAATTTGCGCAGCCAGGCTCTGTAGACTTAAGAAGATATTATGCGGTCCTTGCAACTGCCATGACCCGAGTTTAAATGATCAGATCAACACTACCTGCTACAAGAATGTACACTAGCTAATGCGCACACTTCGCGGGGTTTCTTAGGCGGGAAATTTTATGGGAGCGAATTTTCACCAAGTTCCAGTTATACATTATCGCATTTAAGTTTTCTTACCCATATATTGCACTGCCTTGACTGTGCATCATTCTTGTTTGCGAGGAACGATATTTTGATGTAACCATGCATGTGTACTAGCTGAAATATGGTATAAAGCTGAAGAACTGACAATCGAGACCACTTAGGTGTTGCTTACGGGAGCCCATAGTAGCTTTAGTGTTTAAAATTGTTTGAACGGCAAACGGACGGGAAAAACAATTGTTTAAACCCCATGATCATGAATTTTGGAGTCTTTCAAACTCGATCTGCGTAAATCGTTGTCTTAGAATAGTTTTTTCCCCAGCCCGTATTTTCACAAACAAGTTAGACTTGAAGCACCATCTCTCTTTGATTTACCGTGAACCTGTAAATTGCCTGAAAATCTTAGCCTTTTCTCTTAAGTGGCATTATCAGAGTTTAATTCTTGTCATTTTTCGTAGCTACTCAAATTTACTTGAGCAAGTTTGTAGTTTTGACGCTAAAAACAATTACGCCATTTTTTCGACCTAATTCTGCTCTTTTGCAGCGTTTGGGATCAGTCTTAATATCCACACGAGGCCTGTTGCACCCTTTGTTTCAGCAGAGCGTATACATGCAACAACTTGATAAATTACGTTCTCCAGCAATGTAAACATTACAGGATCAATTTATTCCATTCCGCGGGCAGTCGAGTCCGCAGAAGGCACGCGACTTCATGCAGGTTATTTGCGGGGCTCTTAATTAATATTTAACCGGTGTCAGGAGTGTCTGCTACTTATGTAGTTACTTAGTCGGGTAGTATCGTTGGCGGTAAACTGGTATGTCAAGACGTACGATTCACCTCCGCTTCTGCTGAGGAGCGTAGTTAAGAGTTTAATTTGAAGTCTGCTGGTTAGTGCTTCCATCAATGTAGGCAATACACGACTTTGGTGTTCCGATGCAGCTTTTAGTCAAAGCCACGCAACACTTCTAATTTTTATTTTTGCACCCTGTAGGTTTGCTTTGCGACATCCTGTGGGCGGATCCGGACAAGGAGGTGCAGGGATGGTCGGAGAACGACCGTGGCGTCAGCTTTACCTTCGGTGCCGACGTCGTCAGCAAGTTTTTGACGCGTCACGACATGGACTTGATTTGTCGAGCCCATCAGGTAGTGGAGGATGGCTACGAGTTCTTCGCCAAGCGTCAACTTGTCACTCTGTTCTCTGCGCCGAACTACTGCGGAGAGTTTGACAACGCCGGTGGCATGATGTCCGTTGATGAGACCCTAATGTGTTCCTTCCAGGTCAGTAGTCCTCATCTCTCAGTGTTATCATTATTTGAATCCATCTTAAAAGGGTCCCGTTACAATCACGAGCAGTGTTTTCGGCGTTGGCTTCCCCTGAAAAATAAATTTTTCGCGCAGCCAATGGGTCAATGTGCACCTATTGCCGTATGAACAAGTGTCCATGTTTGCAAAGATCGATCATCATCATGTGAATCATCGATGAACCTTTTTTGGACTGTGTGCTTATGACCCCTCTGGTAGATACCGTATGTGCGCGCCATTTACGCGGTGTGGACGCTCATGTTTCTGTTTCGCATCGCACATGGTGGTCTGGTTTATGGCGGTGGACTAAAGACAGTAAAAGCCCGAAACGATATCATCTAATGGTTGTAAGATGCTCATCGGTCTGGTTCCGGAACATACCGCGCCCCGTTTTGCTTTGGGGTTCAATCTAGAGCCCTCGCAGGCGTTTGCGTAGCGATTTCAGACATATGATGGAGTGGAATCGACAAAGACCAGGAACGTCAGTGATCGTTTCTGGCTTATTAGTCGTCATCAGGCAGTCATGTCCAATCCCAGGAAGAGCGGCCTCCCCAGAGATTCGAACCCGGGACCGCGGGTCATTGAGTACAATCCTACCATTGCACCACGGACTCATTGGTTTTGTCGGTTGCGATCGGGGCTATGATGAATGGTAGAATGCTTACCACTCTGGTTACGGAAAATGTTCGGTCCCCTTTTTTGCCTTGGAGCTTAATCTAGAGCTCTCGCAGGTAGTAGTACTTGTGGTGTATGATGAAGTGGAACCGATAAAGACAAGGGATTGGACATGAATGGCTGATGACGGCTGATACACCAGAAACGACAATTCCGCACCCAATTGTTTTGCCAGTTCCACTTCATAATACCATATCAATTCACATTGGCGTCTCAGTCGACAGGCCTTTAGGCAAACAAATAATTGAGACTACGATGACCGTTTTTGGTTCATTTGAGCCGCCGCCAGCCAGCCAGCCCTATTCAAACCTCGGTCCCAGCCGATCGGCACTGTGTACCACAGCGCAGTTGAATAGTGGGCCAACAGCATGTGTCGGCTGCAATGTGAAATCTTCAAAGCCACACACTCGCCGATGTGGTCTACTTACAGGACGGCACCTGGGCAACCCCAGTGCCTCACAGTGCCTCCAGTCCTGTAGCCAGACCAGCTCTCACGCCACTGGAGGATTTATTACATTTCTGCCGTGCTCCTTCTCTCTCTCTGTGTAGGTGCAGTCATTTTCTTGCGTGTTGTCCCAGGCCAGCGCGCGCGCGCAGTGGGCTTCTGTGCTGTTGTTGTTGCACCTTGTTTTTGCGCCAGGTGCCTGATGTCTCCACGCGCTACTGACGTCACACAATCGTATTTTAGTGTTAAAAAGATTTAACTAGCGGTTGTTGGTGGTGGTTTTCTCTCTCTGGTGATCCAAAATCGTGCAAAAGAACTTGACGCCGCTTCCCCCCTCCCTCCCGAGCATTAGTGAATGCCCTTGACAGTGCCTTTTCTTTTAATCACTACTTTGTATTGAGTCTTTTGCACATGCGGTAGACTCCCTATTGTGGACGGAGGTTCTGAAATGTGTTTTCGATTCGAACAAATTATTTAAGTGGTGGGTTGCACTGTTCACTGTCGCACAACCTAATCTCACGACATTTCAGCCACCGCAGAATATTGGCTGTTGGACGAGGTCCCTTCCGACAGTCTGCCAAAGAATATTATGTAAAAATAGGGCTACTTCAACAGTATGAATTTTTCTCATTGCTTTCCACTACCCTTGTAGTCTTTTGGTAGCAAATGACACTTCTTTTAACTTTTATACTTGAAGAAAAGACATGTTTGGGTTTTAAAGAAACTTCTCATTATGATATTTTTTAAGAGCGACATGTTTATTCATCATATGTCGTATCCGCCAATTTAAGAGTGTTGTAGAATGATCCACATCCATTGCAAAATCTAATGAAAATTATGCGACCCTTTTCTCATAGGGCAGAGAAATGCGTGGTTTTCTTTAGACAGAATGTATACAGCGTGTAGATTGGACACCTTGAGTACAGGCCGATAGGGTTCAAAATTATACGGCAATTCTGAAAGTTTGACAAAGGTATTATTCCCATGGTTAATTTTAAAATTCAGTTTTTGGCAAACATTTGTTTTCAGCAACTCTTCATCATGTTCAAACTTTGGTAGCGCTCCTTATATACGCTTGGCCCCAGGCTTGTGTCTTGCGGCTAGGGTTTGGGTAAGGGTTAGTGTTAAGTTTAGGCTTATGTATAACGAAATAAGTAGGTAGTTATGCATAATAAAGTAAATAGTCGTGTCGTCCCAACGGAACGATTGCCTTTATAGTAGTACCAGAGCCTTTAACTTTACGCAAGCCAATCCGGGCTGCCACATAGCCCACGATTAGCCTTTTGTCTATTTGCCCATCCTGTCCCGTAAGAGAAAAGACGGGCTAAGCGTAGATAGGTTGTGCTACCATTAATAACTCTGCCGAAAGTTTTTTTGTAGCCGGAAAGAATGCCTTCGTGTATGGACTTTAGAGAAATTCGCAATTTACTCCCTAATGAGTATAAGAAAAAATATTTTTGTGTGTCGAGCAAATTGCGGTTATTAGTTCGGTGCAGATGTGGTGCTGCTGTGTTTGCATATCAGTCGCACAGTGTTAATGCACAGGCACAGCTGGGGGCTTTTTTACGATGTGACGCAAAAATAACTCTGTAGACAAACTTGATTTCATTTTTATGTAAACATTGTGGTTAGTGGATAGTGAAAAGGTTGCCGGACTATTGCTGTATGCGCACGCAAACACACTGGAAATCGCACGATAGTGCTCGTGACCAGGCGCGCCGAAAACTTTGCTCAAAGAGTTTGGAGGAAATCCATGACTGATTTAGTAAGTAAATGACTACAACAGGAGACCATTTGAAGGAAAAGTCGTACGAGAACCTACTTATGAGACGTAGTACCGTCAATCCGAAATCTTCTGACTGGAGCCCTCGCAGGCGGTACATTGATGAGAAATAAAGACTAATGGAAATGGTAAATTTTTATCGAAATAAAGGGGGCTGATCTAGCAGTCCTTGGCTTGTTTGAGGGCGTCACCTAACCGTTTCCCACCCCCCCAGGCCCTCTTCTTAAAATTTTAGAGATCTGACAAGTTAAGTGTTAACCCCCCTGGCGTATAATTTAAATATGAACTTCATTCCCCCCCTCTCTCTCCCCCTCGTTGCAGATTCTGAAACCGTCGGAGAAAAAGTCAAAGTATCAATACCTCGGTGCCAACGCGGCACGTCAGACCGCGTTCCCTCGTCAGACTCAGCCGATGTAATTTACTGGGTACGCGATTCTTTTTTTCATCACCCTTCCTTTGGCATCGACGTCCACGCATCGTATAGTATTCTACCTTTGACGTTTACTCCTCATGTGTTGGGGCTGTGAGGCCTCCATTTGGCATTTCCGAAATCAATCAATGCCTTTAGTGCTTTGATTTTTTAAGGATTTGACATACCTACAAACCCTACACTTTCAGCTCACCAGTATCTCTACTAACTAATTACCTTTGGTGTTTACTGTTCCCTTTGGAGCGATAGGATGCAAAAGATCTCACGTCGCTGTGTGTGCTTAATGCTTGTTAAGTTGCCTCTCTGACGCCACACTAGTCCAAAAGAGCACGTGCGGCGGCACCGACAAATTCGTCGTATTTCACTACCACCACCTCCCCCTTTCTGCGCTGGTTATGCAATTCACTCGCATACGCATGTCTGTGAGAGCTTGTGTGCGCAACTGACTTTTATGAAACCGTCCTGGCCATTTCTGTGGGATTAGGTAGCGTAAACCACGTGTCCAGCGCCCATTAAATGCATGCCGCCCCCGTTTTCGCTAAAAGTCCTCGAATCCGGTTATTTTAAACCCAGACACTGGCTCCCATCTATGGTTTCCTCGAAGAGGAAAATGCTTTTTCCTTTCTTCTCACTTGCTAATTTTCGGAAGTGAAATTTATTTTCTACAAAAAAGTCGGTCGATCGGTCGCTGACGGAATTCAGCGTTACTCGAACCCCGCACGCAGAGTTGCTGACTTAGTCTGAAAATTATTTTAGCAGGCAGTTGCGACGACTATTGTCAACCAGACTTTCCGTAAAAACAATGACAGCTTTTCTACCCCCCCCTCCTCGCACCCCAAAGGACATTGACAAAAATGTGCAGTAAAATGGTTTTCGTCTAGCGCAGAAAAAGGGCGTCAAGACAGCTGTCAATCTTGTGTTGGTCGACTGTGCACCGCCAAATTAGCTACGTAGGAGTTTGCCAACTCGGCCGAACACTTGAATCTTCATTAGGCAACTGGAAGGAATCTAGTGCTTAAAAGTCCTAGCGGATCCTTCCTAAGAATTCGTAACTTGCTTTATGTGACGTGCTGTTTGTCTCTTTACAGGCTCCTCACAGACCGTATTTTAGTTCTACAAAGGCGACCCAAAAGTAAGTCAACCCGGGGGTCTAGCCTAAAGAGCGTCAGGTAAAAAATAATGTTGGCAAGGCCATCAGGTGGTTGAGGCCAAATTAATTTTAGCGATAAAGTGGATTTTGATGGGTTTCTCTGAATTTGAGTTAATAGTTTTTGGAGCTGTCTGCTGGCGTTTTTAAAGCTCGGGTCTTTTGCCTACTGCAGATGAAGCTGCCAGTGATTTCTGGTATTTCCTCGCTTTATCAAACTCCTTGAAATGCTTATTAACTTCCTCGTTTTTATTGTCTTCTGGCTTTAGGAGGTTTCTCCCAGCACCTCGCTCATATCCCTTTCGCTGCCGTTCCTGACCATTCACGAAGTTTTTCCTCGGGAAGACAATAAAAGGTGGACTCCCGTGCAGCATCGACTCACAAAGCAACCTCATATATACACACATGGAACTCTTCTCTCTATATCTCTCTCTTACCCCCTTTGACGCCACCTCACCCGTTCCTGTACCATATTATCCCTTTTCATAAGCTGTGCGACCCTCGCAACTATAAACCCTCCTCCTCCTACTCCTCACCAGCCAATTCTTGTGTACACAAAAATCGAGCGATGACTGTCATATGTCCTTTTGTGCTCATTGTGCCGAACCTCCCTCGGCCATTTTATTCTCTCTCTCTCTCACTAATGCTACCGCCGTTATTTCCGTCTGCTGAAAATCGTTGCATACTGAGTGACCCACTTGATGGGGTGGGGGCCGCCAGAGGTAGGGGGAGGACCCAGGGCGGTATCATGTCCTCGTTCGCGGCACGCTAGCGTTTTGGGACCGGTTTGCAGAATGTCTTTTTTTTCTATAACCACGGCCTCCGTGCTACTGCCACTG